TCTACCTTCCTCCACTCTCACCATCTACTCCAGCAGATCAACCACTACAACCATTCACCATCACTATTATAAGTCATAGGTTCACAGCTAGTCACCATCACTGTCATGGTCACAACCAGCCTCACATTCACTATCACAATCACCACCAGGATGTAGGAGGCTAAATCAAGCACTATGATCAATGTAAGTTTGAACTGAACCATTAATCAGTTCTCGTTCCCTGCATCCACACTAAAGAGGTCTGGCTCTCTGGCCGTCGACCAGATCCCTGAAGATCGACCAGATCCCCCCTGGTCGTCGACCAAGGTCATTCTGAGGTCGTTATATTTCCCGATACGAACTGGGGATGTGTACTTAGTACATGAGTGTAATTACTTGTGTATTGAGTACAGGGGGGTCGTATTGAGTACAGGGGGGTCGTATTGAGTACAGGGGAGTCGTAATGAGTACAGGGGGGTCGTATTGAGTACAGGGGGGTCGTATTGAGTACAGGGGGGGGGGTCGTATTGAGTACAGGGGGGTCGTATTGAGTACAGGGGGGTCGTATTGAGTACAGGGGGGTAGTCGTATTGAGTACAGGGGGGGTCGTATTGAGTACAGGGGGGTCGTATTGAGTACAGGGGGGTCGTATTGAGTACAGGGAGGTCGTATTGAGTACAGGGGGGTAGTATTGAGTACAGGGGGGTCGTATTGAGTACAGGGAGGTCGTATTGAGTACAGGGGGGGTCGTATTGAGTACAGGGGGGTAGTATTGAGTACAGGGGGGTCGGGGGTCGTATTGAGTACAGGTTCAGTACAGGTTTTAGTTCAAGGTTGCCGTGATAAAGGTTGCCGTGATAATTATGGTTGTGGTAGTGGTGTGGTAATGGCGGTTGAAGCAGTTGTGTGGTGGAATTTCTTGTCGTTTTTGTGGTGATTGCGGTAGTGGTGGTTGGTGGTGGTTGTGGCAATCACGGTGGTTGCTATGGTGCAAATATCAACAACTATTGGGGGTGACAATCTGCATCCTCTACGACATGATCCAAAAGCCCAATACCCTCTACGTAACAAAGTGCAATGGTTTAACCTAACCAACAGCGTCAAAACGCAGACTATACCCACCAGACTATACCTGATCAACCAGGCTGTGACTTATGCTTTTATTAGCTGCTATTAATACAATATTTACAATAGATAACTGCTACTGGGCCGAGCTTGGGAGAATAGAAGAACAAGCGCGGCTCCGGCAAGCACAATTAGTTGAGTACACACAATTTGCAATGGGCTATTGCATGTTGACCAGACCACACACTAGAAATTGAAGGGACGACGACGTTTCGACTTGAGAATCGACTTGAGAATGGTCCAGGACGGACCGAAACGTCGTCGTCCCTTCAATTTCTAGTGTGTGGTCTGGTCAACATACTTCAGCCACGTTATTGTGACTCATCGGGCTATTGCATGTTTTCTTTTGCCAAGACGGAGCTAAAATTACATTTCGAAGCGGCACTGTTGTTGTCTCACACAAGGCACAAGCGCCTAACCGTTTCCGCTCGACGCGCGAAGCCTTTGATAAAATAAGTGGTGGTAATGGCATGTTGGGGGGGGGGGTGAGGGTGTTGGGGTGGTTGGGTGAGGTGTTGGGTGGGGGGAGGAGGGTTTTGGGGGGGAGGGTGACAGGTGTTGTGGAGGGGGGTGACAGGTGTTGGGGGGAGGGTGTTGTGGAGGGGGGTGACAGGTGTTGTGGAGGGGGGTGACAGGTGTTGGGGGGAGGGTGTTGTGGAGGGGGGTGACAGGTGTTGGGGGTGTTGTGTGGGTGTCATTTATGTTATCCTGTTAAAACCATATTTACAATAGATAATGGGCCACCACTTTGGTGGCCACTGGGCCCCCAAACCGAGCTTGGGGAGTAGAACATCTCCCAGGTAGCATACTTGGCGCATACCTGGACAGAAACCCTTCTTAAGAACAAGATACCCGAATGTCTGGAATATACTTAACATATTCTCCTGGATCAACCTATTGGCCGGAGTTTATTGAGCGCCCTATACTCATCCCGCGAGCGGGAATATCCTCCGTTGGGGGTCTGATGGAAAAACTTTTGTGCCCTCTATAGTCCTTTTTGCGCTACGGCTCACAGGATGGGTATGGGGCGCACAATAAACTAGCAGCTTCCAGCGGCAACAATCAATGGGGTTGTACTAGGATTTATTTAAGTGTTTCCTTTAAAGTATTGCAATCCTGCACGTTTGCAATATTACACGAACCAAAAAAAGTTATTATTGGGTAAGTAAATAAATTTTAATTAAGGATATACTGTTTCTCTCCCAGTTAAGCATATATTAATTTCCAAGACAATCTGATGCGGCGTTCGAAATTTTGAACGGAAAGTTCAAAGAGGAATAAATAAAAAAGAAATAAATCACAGTCAAACCGGAAATAACGGCAAACGGGAGGGAGGAAACGGGAGAATGAGAAGAGAGAATGAAGAGAAGGAAATGGGAAAATAAAAAAAGTAAAGAACAGCAGCGATTGAAACAGTAGAAAGAGAACAGAAGAAGAACAGAGAAGAAGCTAGGAGAATTAGAAGAGAACAGAGATAAACGTGCCTCTCGGGACAAAAAAATAAGGAGCTGGGATGTAAGAAGAGAGGGTAACACGGGCTCACCATAGCCCGTGCTACTTGGAACTTTTTGTTCCAAGTAGCGAATCTTAAAACAACAACGAGGGGGAGATATAAAAGGGAACACGTGTAGAGAAGAAACAAATTCTAAAGCTTTTCAAGCCCTGAAACGCCTTTAAAGCCGCACCAATATCTTTGCATGTCGGTTTTACTGACAATCCGGATGGAGTTCTCAACTTGGAGACTCACGCCACTCTTCCCATTCTACACCAGATCAAAGTTTAAGTCTCTGGCGAGTCTGTAGTGCCCAGCGGGTCACCTCAAGGGCGGGCGGCCCTGGCTGTCAGGTCCTGGTGCATCGGGAGCCTTGGCTGTCACCTCAGTCGAAGCTAGCCTTTGAACACGGCGAGTTACTGCTTGTAGGGGTGGTGGTGATGGTGGTGTGGTGTGGGGGTGGTTGTTGTGTGGGTGGTTGTTGCTTGTGCTCTCTAGAGTGGAGTACTGCTGCACAATGACAGCCCCTTTCAAAGCTGGAGAAATTGCTGACCTAGAGAGCGTGCAGAGATCCTTTACTGCTAGAATCCACTCAGTAAAACATCTAAATTACTGGGACCGACTAAAGAGCCTAAATCTGTACTCCCTTGAGCGCAGGCGGGAGAGATACATAATAATTTACACGTGGAAAATAATTGAGGGGCTGGTCCCAAACCTGCACACAGAAATAACACCACATGAGACCAGAAGACATGGCAGGATGTGCAGAATACCCCCGTTGAAAAGCAGAAGTGCAACAGGTACTCTGAGAGAGAACTCTGATGTTGAGAAAATCAACATCAGAGGCCCGAGACTGTTCAACACGCTTCCACTACACATAAGGGGCATAACTGGCAAACCCCTCACAGTGTTCAAGAGAGAACTGGATAAGCACCTCCAAAGGATACCTGATCAACCAGGCTGTGACTCATACGTCAGGCTGCGAGCAGCCGCGTCTAACAGCCTGGTTGATCAGTCCAGCAACCAGGAGGCCTGGTCGACGACCGAGCCGCAGGGACACTAAGCCCCGGAAGCACCTCAAGGTAGCCTCAAGGTAGGTGGTGGTGATGGTGGTGTGGGGGTGGTGGTGATGGTGGTAGTGGTGTGGTGGTTGTGTGAGGGTGGTGGTGTGATGGTAGTGGTGTTGGGGTGGTAATCTCAACGGAGATTGTTACATTAACAATTTCATCTACCCTTCACTGAACCTTATCATTATAATGTCAGCTAGTTACAGAGAATGTTCTATTTCAAGAGCTATATATTTACAATTAATCATTATCCATTAATGGGAGGTCTTATCGCTAATACGTAATTGTTTTATCTATGTAGATATTATAGAGTCATAGGAGAGCTGCTGTTATTATTAGTCTTCACAATACTCTACTTGCTTCTTAACCAAATATGTTGTTTATCTACTGGAAGCGAAATATGGATACAAGGATTTCAGATATTTTATCTTATTACTAAAGATGGTTTGCCATTTCATACAACGTGAGTTTAGATTTATCTCTAAATGGCTCAATTTTATTACAGTCCAAGATATAATACTGGAGTGTGTGTGTCCCTGTCTTTGTCCACACACTTTACACTTTACTTCATCTAGATCTCTATACAAGCCGAACTGCCAGAGATACTTGTAGCCAAGTTTTATACGAGCTGTGACAACGTCTGTTAGTCTACTGACTTTGTTACTTGCCCCATACACATGTTTTACTTCACATATTTCGTTGTGATAAACAATGGACCTGCTAGTTCCAATTTGCACTGTTCTGCTTTCATCAAATTCATCCACGAGTTCTCGTCTAATGACACTTTTAAGGGACCTATTTGATAACTCAAGATTCCGTTCAATACTGTCTTTATTTACTGCAGCCTTAGCAGGGGCGTCAAATTTATCATGTTCCTGCAGGCCAATGTGAGAAGGAATCCACAACATTTTTAAATTTACCCCTTTATTAAGTATGCTAAAATGTCAATGGCTTCGGAGACAAGCACGTTATTAATTGATTGCAAACTAATACCAGTAGTGAGGACTGGAAGTCAGACATAATTAAGCTGTCTGCTTTAATGTTAAGAATGTTGAGTACTCCCAGTAGTGCTCCCAATTCAGCTTGCAATGTGGATGCCCAGTTACTAACTCTTACATGCCTTGACATTGTGCTTCTCTCAGGCTGATGAGCAATAACAGCACTTCCTATAGGGAGGTTGGAGGTGTATTCAGTGATCCGTCAGTGTATATGGCCTGTGGCTGAGGTGTTTCTTTAACCTGTCGTGAAGATTAGTGAAGACTAATGTTGTAAACCATTAGGTTTACGACCAGAGGACGTCACTCCATCAACGTAAAACAGAAGGTGGGTAGGCTTACCTGTCTCAGTAATCTCTATGACCTTGGGAGACGGTCTGGCGAACGCTACGAAGCCCCCGCCCACTGTGGGAAGATAACACAACATTCTTAATGATTGGCAGTGATAACATGGGTGAAGGAACGGTGATAACATGGGTGAAGGAGCGGTGATAACATGGGTAAAGGGGCAGTTATACCATGGGTGAATGAGCTATGATAACATAGGGTGAAAGAGCAGTGATAACATGAGTAAACTATGACTTAATGGTGGAACACAGCAATAATAACAAGGTCACGATAACTCACCAATAATATAACATGATCATAATAACACACCTACAGCACACCTGGTAACAATGTGTTCACGACAATACTTACAAAAGACATGACTATTAACATAAGATACAAAACACATATGGCAATATCGCTTTAAATGTAAATGTACACCGGCTTGGGTTTGAAATTAATTACGATAGCCTAATAAGAGCTTAGAATGGCACCTTGTAGTGTAGTGGGCTAACGCCCTCGTCCAGTTACCCCACAAGCGAGAAGACCCGAGTTCGAAGCGAGAAGACCCGAGTTCGAAGCGAGAAGACCCTGAGTTCAAAGCGAGAAGACCCTGAGTTCAAAGCGAGAAGACCCTGAGTTCGAAGCGAGAAGACCCTGAGTTCGAAGCGAGAAGACCTGAGTTCAAAGCGAGAAGACCTGAGTTCGAAGCGAGAAGACCCTGAGTTCGAAGCGAGAAGACCCCGAGTTCGAAGCGAGAAGACCTGAGTTCAAAGCGAGAAGACCCTGGAGTTCGAAGCGAGAAGACCCGAGTTCGAAGCGAGAAGACCCGAGTTCGATGCGAGAAGACACGAGTTCGTAGCGAGAAGACCCGAGTTCGAAGCGAGAAGACCCTGAGTTCGAAACGAGAAGACCCGAGTTCGAAGCGAAAAGACTTAAGAGTTCGAAGAGAGACTGGACCTTTATGCTTGGGAAGAATACTCGCTAATAATGATAGTTTATTTATTCAAATTGTCTGTAAATCTTATACAACAGCAACTGACAAATCAATAAATAAAGCTGAAAAATAAAGTTGTTGACCCAAAACAGCTGCCTCCCCCCATTAGACTGACTTTCCATTCTATCCGATATTGGCCATAATCTAACACGCTCCCATATGTAACTTGTTAGTTAAATCTGCAAAGCCGTTGGAGCTTTTCAGCGATAACTGGCTCACTAAACTCATGACCTAATTGCAAAAACCTTGATTCGTGTTTTGCACCACTCGAAACCTGTACATCTAATAAAACATGTATATTAGTTTCCTTCTCTACACTAATATTTCTGTTTAAAATATGTTGAATATATTTAGCATTATTTTCCTAATTTATTCAAATTCCAACGATGTTCTGCTTGATGGGGATTTGGGAGTTCTTCTACTACTCAAGCCCGGCCCGAGGGCAGGCTTGAGGCCAGGCTTCAACTCCCCAAGCCCGGCCCAAGGCCAGGCTTGAGGTCAGGCTTCAACTCCCCAAGCCCGGCCCGAGGGCAGGCTTGAGGCCAGGCTTCAACTCCCCAAGCCCGGCCCGAGGACAGGCTCGAGGCCAGGGCCCAGATTCACGAAAGCACTTACGCAAGCACTTGCGAACGTGTACATCTTTCCGCAATCTTTGACGGCTTTGGTTACATTTATTAAACAGTTTACAAGCATGAAAACTTCCTATTCAACTGTTGTTATTGTTATAAACAGCCTCCTGGTGCTTCGGAGCTCATTAACTGTTTAATAATTGGAAACAAAGCCGCCAAAGATTGAGAAAAGATGTACAGGTTCGTAAGTGCTTTCGTGAATCTGGCCCCAGGCTTCTACTTCCCAAACCCGGCCCGAGGGCAGGCTTGAGGCCAGGCTTCAACTCCAAGCCCGGCCCGAGGGCAGGCTTGAGGCCAGGCTTCAACTCCCCAAGCCTGGCCCTATTTCTCAGGGACTGTTCATACGTGTAAATATAAATATGACGAAACCACGAGGTAGTACCCGTCCCATCCCGACCAGGTCGACCTAATTATGAAACACATCCAAGAAGAAATTTACTAGACAGCGCCGCCCGCCTTACGCGCCCTGCTTAGTACACGCCCTCACCGGCCTGTCACCGTCTACAGAGGGAGTCCCACAGTCACTGTCCTCCCTCGACCATCTTAACATTCATTACACATTCCTCTTAACGCTCCTACAATACCACTTCGACGTTCCGAGACTATCTGCTCTAACGTGAATAAATTGGAGGTGTCGTCGCTACAGTAAGATGATCTTGAGGGGTCGCCTTTTCTCCTCCGTTGGTAGAGAGCTAATGTCGGTCTCTGCACATCTTAGACCTGTCGGTATGAGGTACCTGGAGCCTCCAGACCTGATGGTATGAGGTACCTGGAGCCTCCAGACCTATCGGTATGAGGTACCTGGAGCTGTGTAATACCCTTGTTGCGTTCTGCCTAACCTGAACACATGCCCCTGTACCATACCTGAAGAGGGTTTCGGAGGTCTTCTACTCCTCAAGCCCAAGGGCATAACTGGCCGACCCCTCACAGTGTTCAAGAGAGAACTGGATAAGCACCTCCAAAGGATACCTGATCAACCAGGCTGTGACTCATACGTCAGGCTGCGAGCAGCCGCGTCTAACAGCCTGGTTGACCAGTCCAGCAACCAGGAGGCCTGGTCGACGACCGGGCCGCGGGGACACTAAGCCCCGGAAGCACCTAAAGGCAAGGTAAGGAATAGAAGTAGTTTCCACTCGACTTGTGGTAACTTGGTCCAACAGGCTGTTGCAACAGCCTGGATCTAATATCCACTACAACCCACGTATGACTATCCCTCTTCAAGATGGATAATTTGCTTTTTTTTTTAGAATTACATAAACATGAAGTCCACCGTACACGCTAGTGCAGCTGTAAGCAAGGATTGTAATCAAATCCAATTTGATTTTCCCATTACAGTGCCCCTATGCCCTTATTCGTTCTCCTATTTATCCCTTCCCCCACCTTTACCCACTACAATCATTCAGTCCTCTTCCTCTTCCCACATTTCTCCATTCCTCACTGTTCCCCCCTCATAGTCATTGACTATGACTTAGTCATAGTCATAGTCACAGTCATAGTCATTCAGAGTAGTTAATAAATGGAATGCACAAGGAAGTGATGTGGTGGAGGCTGACTCCATACACAGTTTCAAATGTAGATATGATAGAGCCCAGTAGGCTCAGGAACCTGTACACCAGTTGATTGACGGTTGAGAGGCGGGACCAAAGAGCCAAAGCTCAACCCCCGCAAGCACAATTAGGTGAGTATAGTACTCACTCTTCTCCCCCCACTCCCCCTTATGGGTAGCCCGAGGGTCAATAAGAGCTTAATTACCCATCATTTACGCTAGTTCCCCCCCCCCCTCCACCCCCGGGAGCGTTACCAAAGATTACCTGTACAAGGCTTCACGAGACAGGTCAATTTAGCCCTTACGTCCTGTCGGCAAGGTCGAAGGTTATGTCCCAGTGATAATATTTCTTTTAATTGTTGCTTAATGGTCAGTTGCGTCAGTTAATGGTCCAAATGATGAATGTTTGTTGGGGGGGCGGGGGGGGGGGAAGACTTTCAGGGGGCCTCGGAGTTTCACTCTGCTTGTTCTACTCCTCCAGACATATCTCAAGGCTTCGCGAATGTCTTATTTGCACACTTTGTCTAGTCAGAAGCGCACAAACCTACGCTAACCAGGGGCTAGATTCACGAAGCAGTTACGCAAGCACTTACGAACCTGGGGCTAGATTCACGAAGCAGTTACGCAAGCACTTACGAACCTGTCCATTTTTTTTCAATCTTTGGCGACTTTGTTTACAATTGTTAAACAGTTAATGAGCTCCGAAAACCCTGGTTTGTGCCTCGGAGAGGCTGGAGGATCCAATAAGTTCAGTAGAACTTCGGTTTCAACTCCTTTTGACCATATCGTAGCTCAGTCGATTAAGGCAGTGTCTGGGATGCTCTTGGACGCAGGTTCGAATCCTCGTCACGACCCTTGTGGATTTGTTCATTTAATGAGCTCCGAAGCACCAGGAGGCTGTAAATAACAATAACAACAGTTGATTGGGACATTTTCATGCTTGTAAACTGTTTAATAACTGTAACCAAAGGCGTCAAAGATTGAGGAAAGATGTACACGTTCGTAAGTACTTGCGTAACTTGCTTCGTGAATCCGGCCCCTGGAGTATATCTGGAGTATACTTTGAGAGTCTACGTAGAGTGGGTTCTGAGAGTTCTTCTACTCCCGGAGCCCCTACGAGACCTTAGCTTACACATATACAGGGAGCATCTACTTTGAGGACCGGCTGCTCCCGATGTGGGGAAGCGTCTAATTTGTACGCTTCTACGGTACATAAAAGTACATCTACCATACGGTTCATCTACCATAAGTTTGGTAGATGAGTCTACCTCCTTTAAACTACCGGCAGCTCCTGGCTTGTATAATCGTAATGGCTTGGCGTTTTCCCCCTGATAATTCCCTTCCCTGGCTCCCTCTTTAACCTTTGGGGTTAAATTGGGTTAAATAAACCGTTCCTTGCGGTGGTTCCGGGGGTCAAGATCCCCCGCGGCCCGGTCTCTGACCTCCTATCTCTCTTTATCTTGCTCGCCTCCTATCCTAATTCTATTAACATCACTTCGACTCTTATGCATCACCAATACACAATTATGTTCCCTTCGTCCGCCTCTTTCCCCGAGTATTTTGTAGGTCGTTATCAGGTCCCCCCTCCCCTCCCTCTCCCATCTGTATTCCCCTTCCCCTCTCTTCCTCTTGCTCAAAGAGTAGGAGGGGGGATAGGGGAGAACGCATTTCCAATACGGGAGGAGGAGGTTGGGCCCCTCATATGTAAGGGGCGGCCCGCGCTCAACGCAACAGTTTACCTCTTTGAGGCGGGAAATTGAGGTTCTCGTTTTCTTTTTGGTGAGGTTGTGATTGAATTCTGGTGTGTTGACGACTAACAACTCTGTCGAATGGGTGTTTGGGGCATGCCTTGTGGGTAGGGGAGGTGGGGATCCCTTATGGGTAGGGGAGGTTAGGCATGTCTTGT